TAGTAATCGACACAAAGGAACTAAACCTCTCTCTCTCTCCCTCTCTCTCTCTCGCTCACATATATAAACTTGTTTATATAGAATCAGTCTTAATAGATAGATAGACAGATAGATAGATAGATACGAACAGACTGAGATAGATAGATAGATAGATAGATAGATAGATAGATAGATAGATAGATTTATGTCAGTTTCAGCATTCTGACACACACACACACACACACACACTCACACACACACACACACACACACACACACACACACACACACACATATATATATATATATATGTATGTATGTATATGTAAACATGCTTATATACATGATGACATGATAGAAAGATAGAGAGAAAAAGACAGACAGATAAGGACGGAAAGAAAAGTAAGGACATGTGCAGTTTTTAATCTAACTTAAAGATGATCCCATTGAAAAATCCGAATCTTGCAGTTAAATAAGCCAAATAAAAATAAAGGTTGGCTTTTTATGTATTTCAATGAACTGCAGTATCTTTTGTTCTGATTTCAAATAGAAGAATAATCTCAGTTACGAGTTAAGTGCATATCAATCAGTGTCATTGAAAAGAAGAAAACATTATTCACTCAATGAAACGAAGAGTATTATTTAATAGAAAGCAAGATTCGTCATGAAGGCATTTTTAACTCAGCTTTTAGACTATTAAGCCATTTTGTCACTCATTAATCGATAATTTATTTTATATCTATGCGCTTGTGTAAACACAAGAGGAGTAACCGGAAATAGAACAGACAGACATTTTAGACTGACAGACGACACTGAAATGGATGAGAACAGATTGGATAAAAAAGACAAATATAGTTTTGGAAGTCAATAAAAGCAATAAACGAAAAAGCTTCCTTACATCTATTCTACCAGTATTTATCTGTATTGGGATCCCACAGGCATGAAGCAGGAATATTTCCGTCAGAATGTGTTGCCTTAGATACATCTGCTGCTGCAAAGCTTACAATACATGTGATGCTAGAACGGCAGTAAATGTTTACCGGCCTCATGACCATGGTTCGAACCTCGATAAAAAACCAAGAATTACTATGCTGATTTTCTCAGTTCGAAAGATATGTTCATTTGAATAATTGTCGTTACACACGCATCTTTCCCTCTCTCGTCTTCATCCATTCCACTTGGTGGTGAAATAGATAAAAGTTTTCAAATTTAGTATCAATTATAATAAAAGATGTTTCATTAAGACGGATCAGCAGTAAATAAATCACTGTTATTTGTGAAAATTTATTTATTTCTCTATTTGGATCATGGTATTTAAGTCCTGGCAATTATGCGTGAAAAATAATATCACCCAAATGTCCGCCAAATCTGAAAGAAAAAGAAAAAATCATTAGACGCTCAAAATTAATTTACATTTAAAATCGGTCCAATTTATTGGGGCACTCTTTACTTATTATAAGTAAAAATGAAAATATCACTGTATTCTTCTGTGAATTACTTCATGAACCTTAATTCTAAAGTTAATGATTGAATACGCTCCCTGTTAATTACACGGCTATATAATGGTTAAGAATATTCCCCTAATGCCTCGTCAAATATTTCAAATTTACTAATTAAAAAAAAAAAAAAAAAAGAAAAAAAAACTATTACAATAAAAATCATAATTATGGAGGTCATTTTTAAAGTAAGTTTGTACAAATGAAAAGATTCAAAATTTGAAGTTGTTACATTTCACTGAGGCAGACGTTAAACACATGAGCTTATTATCGCCTCCTGTTTTTATTCATTTATTTTCCCGACTTTTTCCTGAAACAAAATGGCACCTTTTCTTCCATCTATCCTCGCAATCAAACCGGAATGGCAGGGCGTAATTAACGTCTGTAGTAACTAACTGAAGAGCTAAGCAGAATTATAATATAATTATATCCGAATGAATCATGCGGCAAAGACAAAGTCCATCATTGACTAGGTTAGTCATTAGCACTACAGTTGAGATATTTGAGGTTCTGTCTTAAATACCGTGAGAGAAATGCTAATAATGAAGCAATCAACTTTGACATTAGTAGACACAAAAAATAAAAGATTAAAATTAAAAAAAATAGCACCCTGAGACAATCTATGACTCACTGGGTACATCAAAGGCAAGACAAGCATGAAATTAACGTTTAATAGAACAGAGTAGACCATCGAAAGTTTTCTTAAAATGTACTACTCGGCAAAGATCGAATTAGCATTCGCATAAAAAATGTTTGGTTAGTTAGTGTAACCACCAATATAGACTTTATACTAATTAAAAATCTCTCTCTCTGTATATATATATATATATATATATATATATTTATATATATATAAAGACATTTTTATGTTTATACGATCTGCTTATAGATACAAGTATTTAAGTAAATGATCTGTTTATAATAAACAGTATTAATGACATTTACCGACCTGAATATCCAAGAAATTTTCATACAAAATATGCGTCCTCCGACCTTTATTCTACACCGAACCGTCATATAGCCTGACGTGCTCTACCGATTTAGCCACAGAGGAGCGTTTCGGTTAGCAAGGTCGATTTTACTGTTTTTAAACTACAATTCTCCATGATTTTCTCTCGAACATTCATATCTGCTCGATGCGTATCCAAATGTAAACAATTGACGTCACACATTATGAAATGGACAAAGTCCGATAATTATTTTAAGAAATTTTTATTTTTATACATTCTTTTTTTTATATTTTAGTAAATGCTCTGTTTATAATAAAAACTATTAACAACATTTACCGGCCTGAATGTCCGAGAAATTTTCATAGAAATAATCGTCCTCCGGTAAATGTTGTCCATTTCATAATGTATGACGTCATTTGCTTACATTTGCATACTGACGGCCTCACGATGGCGTCCAGCATGAAACAGCCTGTCGCCTCTAAGTGTTGACTTCAATGTTCCCTTTTATATTTACACAGGCTCTATCTCTGATATTGAGCACTTTATCCCATAAATATAGCACATCTTAAAACTATATTTCTTCATATTCAGCTCCTGATAAACAGTTGGGCACATTTGCTACATTTATAACACGTTATGGATATAGAAAAATTTAGCCACGACTACTCCCTAAAAAACATAATCATCCCATCTCCATCCACATAATAGCTAAAATTAATTGAAAAAACAGAAGCCTCATAAAAAGAATAAGATGGAAAGCCCATTTCTTTTTAAACCAGGACATTCACAATAACACTACACTCAAGGAAAAATACGGCTCTAAAAACCCCAAAAAATGCCCCCCTCTGCAACAAAAAGAATTAGGCGCCTGATGATCGCGTCTAGCATGAAACAGCCTGTTGCCTCAGAGTGTTGATTTCAATGTTCACTTATATATATATATATATATATATATATATATATATATACACACACACAGTGTACATAATTGTCCATCCCACAGAAATGTTTAATATTTAAAAGTCCCTGCAAAATCCCTTTGAGTTATTCAGCTTGAAAGGTTAAAACATTTTGTGTCAGTCAAACTGTTTTCTCACTTGAGCAACAGTGAGAGGAAAAAGATCGTTCAGACCTTCAGTAATGGTACCAACATTCATACTCTGGCTTCCATCTTCAAAGTCCGTTCAAGACCCATCAAGAGAACTCTGAATAAGCTTTAAAAAGAGGGAACAGTATAGAGGAAAACTTGATCAGGAGATCATCATTTCAACTTCAAAGTTAAAGAGATCATTTAGAAAATCCAACTCAATCCATAAGACGTTTGACACGTGGGAAATGAGTTTCATCTACGACAGTGCAAAGAGCAGTGTAAACAGACTTAAAAAATTAAGTCGTACGTGAAATGAGGAACATTGTTACTCCAGGACAGAAAGTTAGAAGGTTAGAGAGGGCAAGGATCATCCTGAATAAGTTGGAAAATGATCTTGGAATAATATATATATATTTGAACTTTATTTCAATCCTTCATGTGCTTCCGATCCTTATATATATTTAACTGATGAGGAACATGTCATTTTCGTTATGATCGATTTCATCACGTTTCTTCTGTCAAGCGTGGAGAGTAATTACACATTCTTGTTGGTCCAATAGTGTTATAACAATCTCGGAGAATTCCAGTAAGATATCTTTAATCAATTTAGCGAGAGAGAAGGAGAGTGACAGAAAGAAGAAAAGTGTTAAACGTGTGTATGCTCGTATTATTTAGATGAATAGACAAAGACCCGTGTTATGCAAAAATTACAAAATAATACAGCGATGTACCGAAAGTTATCGGCTATGTGCCTAATATCGTGAAGAATATTTTTAGCCAGTACAGCAAATCGGTACAGCATTGATTCCATAATGGTCAGAGTGATCTTAAGCCATGCTGTCTCATTGGTTGTCAACAACTTCATTTTATTTGTAAGCGCAGAATCTTTTATGAGAAGAGACCTCTCCACTATATCCTATAAATGCTTAATTTTGCTTATATCTGATGAATGTGATGATCCCCGGCATTCGTTGGAAATCAAACCAATATTAGGCACCTTGGGCCGGAAGATATGGTCCATTCTCCAGATAAATTAGTCCATTATTGTTGGGGCGCGTAGATTTCCCGAATGAATGCAATTAGCAATGCAATTAAAATATCTCCGGTCAATGAGTTCTTTTGGTGGACAGCTGAATGCAAATCGTGCCACGGGATCACAGCCCATAATATTATATATCCGGAGGCATTATTCTGTTTGTATATTCGTTGGTTGTTTTTATCGGCATATCAACTTCTATGGATTATTTAATGCGAAAATGTAAATATATTGTACGCAATTTTTATTTTATTTTTGGAGATAATAATGGTTTAGTGATACAAGTCTTACTAATTAACCCATATCTGGGAGGAGAAGCGGTGGATTCATACTTTTGCCAACGGTATTAACTCGTAATTGAATATAACGAACCCAACTGGAATTCGAAACACGGCTCTCCGATTAACAATTCCGAACCATTATCCATTGCACCTCCCGCACACCCAAGTTTACAGCACCTGGTATTCCGAAATGGTCACTCATCTAAGTACTTTCTCGGTTCAATATTGCTTTACTTCTGTGATCGTACGAGAACCGGTGTTTTGACGTGTTGCGACCGTAAGCATGTGCGTTTGTGAGAGCGTGGTTTCTAATCCTGTAGTTACACTTTCAGTCCTCGTCCTGGGTAAGACGTTAAACTAACATCCGCGTCCTGGGTAAGACGATAAACTAAATCCAGCAGCAAGGCCGCTGATCAGGAGGTTTTGAGGAGCGTGAAATAACCTCTTAATTGCCGGTGTTCCCAGGTCCACTCTGACCCAGGGTGGTAGCACCTGTTAGGGTCCCAGCTATGGGCAAATATTTAACTATTACCAGCAATATTTTTTGAAAAAAATATTACAAGCAATACAATTTTGAAGGAAAAATATTACCAGAGACAGATTTTTTGACAAAACAAAATATTACCAGCAATAAAAGATGTCAGCATTAAATAACCCATTGAGATTGATATGCCGTAAAACAAAATAAACCAAACCAAACTAAACTCCTCCAGTGCTTTCATTCAATCCGACCAAACCTTTCAAATTCTTGTTGCCACATTATTTAAAAAAAAATCAGAAAATCCTGCAGGAGTCTGAATTTGGTTCAGACATTGAACCAAAGAATTATATTTGAATTGAAAGCGGCATTTTCACAATATTTCATCTCAATCCTATAATCATCATCATCATCATCATCATCATCTTCATCATCATCAGCACTAGAGCTGTGTTTTGGCAAACGAATAACTCTTGGTTTGTTGGATCATTCGTGAAAAGAATAGCATATTTCTCATGGGTATCTAAAGAATAAATGAATATCCTCCTCTATAATGAAATTTGTGGCAGTTCAAGAATCGATTAGGTGACCTCAAAATCCTCAACTACCAGGTAACCATCAAAAGGGTTTACTTATAGCAGTAAGGAGACCAAGAGGTTAGTAATTACAGTATGTTGACTGTACGCATTTCATATTGAAACAAAAGCTGCTGAGACAGATGATAGAAAATGCACAGGGTTTGCTAAAGTCAGTGTTATTGACCGTATGGTCAAAAGCTGTTTAGGAGGATTCTGACTGAAAATCAACCTCACTTAAAAAATAAAGGCTGCCAATAAACATTGATGTCAAATCACGGTTTTCTATTAAATATTGTTTCCGATAGACCAGATGCTTGTATTAAAATGTAAACCCCGAGATAACGTTATACAGTAACACCACTATCTCATCGGAAAATGACTCGTATTAGACAAAAGGTAACCCTCCGAATTCTTTGAAAATCTTGTCTGCTACATTATTTATTTTTGACCCTAGTAAAAAGGTGAATAGAGAGATGCCGTGGAAAATTGTTACGAATCCATAAATACTTCACTAATGGTACGCATAATGGATACTATACAACATTAATATAGATATAAATGTTCGTTATTTCGTACTTTTATTCTTGTATAATGCTTGGCAAAATTCCAGATAATATAACTAATGCTAATAGTATTAACAGAAATAATGGAAGTAAAATTAAAATGAAAGAAATACCATTCAAAAATTAATAATGCTTAATCTAATCAAACTTCCAGATATTATTATTCCTACTAATAATATCAACGTAAATAAAGCAAGTAATATATCTTTTGAAGAGAAAAATATCGGGCCAAGAGTTAAACATATTGGCGGCAACATTATGATTTGTGGTTGCTTTGCTGCATTTGAAACAGGCAAAATATTGGCAGCATAATCAATTCTGCAAGATATCAAGCAATTTTGAACAAAAGTATCTTGCTCTCGGTTCGAAAGTTGGATCTTCCAACAGAACAATGATCTGAAGCATCAACGCCGTCTTGAAATGGCCTAGTCAAAGTCCTGATCTAAACTCGATTGAAAATCTGTGGTTCAAATTAAAGAAGGCAATGCATTCAAGAAACCCAGGTAATATCGAGCAGTTGTGAAGGTTTTGCCAAGAATAATAGTCAAAAATTGGCACTCACTAATGCCAGAGCCAAAAGATTGGTCGATGTCAAAAACTCAAAAGCAGGAGTCACCAGATATTAAATGTAAGGGTTCACTTACTTTTGCACATCTTAATTTTTAATGTTTAATTAATATTTTCATTCTAGCTTGTTAATTCTTTTTTCAAAGTGATTGGAATTTATTTAATAGAGCTTTTCTCAGTAAATATATATTTTAAGATTTGTTGATTATCTGAAAAAGAGGCAATTTTTTTAAATATTATCATAAGTCTACACTTATATTTGTGCAGCACTGTGTGTGTGTGTTCAAATTGCTGTCGGGCATGGCGTCAGACGCTCATTACATTATTTACATACGAATTATTGTCCTCACCTTCGTTATTATTTTCACAACGTTTCGGCTGTAGTGCGCTCCGACCATCATTAGGTGGTTTTCGTTCCGGATAATCTTTGCAGAATCGCATGTCTGCGGGAATCAGCGTATATGCCAGCCTATGATAGACTTATCAACAGAGTGTAGAAATGAATATGATGCGGAAGCCTTTAATAAAGAACGAAAGAAAACTGACAGCAAGGCTTCAGCAACAGTAAGAGAAGCCTTGGTGAATGTAATCAAACGTGACAAGCAACAGCAGCAGGCAGATTAGGTTTAAGGTTAATTCTAAACTCGTGATTGTCTCAAGAAACCAAAATCATAGTGAGTAAATCGTTGGTTCATGAATTTGATGACATATTAATTGGGTCAGGTAAAGGATGCGCCCGAAATGCGATTTACAGGTCGGGGACACTAAAATCACGCAGGTGCGGAAGTTTACATACCTGGGAAACGTTTTGACAAAGAACGATAAGTGTGACACCGAGATCCGTAGACGTAATGGGATAGCCAAGACGCATTGCAAAAGCTGGGTACAGTATTGCGAGACAGGAGGATCTCTCCAGTAACAAAGAAAAGAGTACTGAGCTGTTACGGGATATCTTTCCTCCTTTACGGCAGTGAATGTTGGACAGTCTCCTCAAAGATGAAGAAGAGACTCGATGCGATGGAGATGGTGGTTCTATAGAAGGATGCTGCGGATATTATGCGGAGCAAGTGGATGACAGAACGTGGTCTGGGGATGTGGCAAAAGGACGAAACATGTTGAGAGCTTCAGGGTGCAAAGCAGAGAAGGAAGTGGAGAACCATGATCGCCTACGTCCTAAAAGGTGACAGCACATAAAAAGAAAGAAAAGTGCAAATGTAGACTAAGTTGAATCACTTAAGTACCCCTAGGAGATGTATGAATCCATCTCTTTTCTGTCATGAGTTAAATCGTAGGGAAAACTGAGATCTCTAGCTTTGATTGGCAACCGGTCAAGCAGAAGTATACCACTAAAATGAAAACCGATTGCTCTTCACCGTTGGTTGGCAAATAATCTCGAGATGGTGAGAATAAAAACACCTATCCTTCAGTAGCCCGGGTCCCTCGCATGGGATATGGCAATTTTCTAAGCCTAGCTGTGTTACAAAGTTGAAAGTATGAGAGCACCCAGAGAGGATCGAACTCACTATTGATCTAGCGAGACGAGCTTGCTAACCATTACGCCGCGTTGAAGTACCCTTCTCCTAGCGGATATCACGGCCCTAGAAATGCGCTATAACCTAAATTCGTAAGTCACGTGATCTTATTTATATTGTAGAATCTCAACTGCAGCCTAATTCTTTTCTGAAATATTTGATCAAATTCAAAACTTTTGTCGCATTCGCATTTTCACGCCCAAAGAGATTTGGTCACATATATATAATTCTGTCGATCACACCAATCATCACGGTTCGGCATCAAGATTGGTAAGTAATGAAGGATGCATTCTACATCATAACATAGCTGGTAAATATGCCTTGGTTGTTGGGCGACCAACCCGTCTTGCTCCATGGCTAGGTGTCAAGAGCATTAGATCACTCGTGAGTTCTTATTTTGCTCGCCAGCAGTATTGTACAGCGTTCGCATAAGATTGTAGAAATATCAGGGTTGGGTCCATAGTGCTGTTATTTAGTTGGATGTTGTCTCAGAGTGATGTTAAGTATAGCTCTCAGCATTCGAGTGTAGGTCCCATCAAGCTTAGACACTGGAGTTTTTAATTAATGTCCAGGCAATGACACCATACTTTAAGACTTTCTCTACAATGGCTCGAAAGAATCTCCGCTTGAGGTTGTCTGGTAGATTAGATTTCCATATTTACATCCATTTTATTGAAGGCAGCTCAGGCATTAGCTATGAGAATTTTCACATCCTTTTTAGTAGAATTTATCTCCCTTCCTAACTATATAAAAAAATCGACAGATTTTATTAATTCACATGAGACAGTCTGTTCTGAGCCTTGCTGGCTGATGCCTCTGAATTAAATTTTAGAGGAATTGACACAAAAAATCTTAAAATCCATAACTCCAGTGCTATTTAAGTTAGAACTTAATTTCTGGAGAAAAATGCCAAATTCTTCCCTGCCAAACACCAAAGAAACAACAAAAACCAAAAACATCGTAATCACAGGTTTTCTTAATTTTACCTCATTTTAGTGAAAGCCTAAAAATATTAACAAGTATGGTAGCACTTGATCACTATAATTCGACAAAAATTTACAAGTTAGAATACATTTCTATTCATAATCCGTTCTAACTGGAGATTTCCATATAATTAGTTAATTTCAATTTAATGTTTATTGTTTAAAATAATTTTTGAATGTAAGACGATTTTCTAACACATATATTTTTCTGTCTAACGTATTCAAGTGTTTGGATCTAAATGTATACAATTATATTTTACATTTAACTACATGTACTTCTAATTATACAGAGAGATACCTGTATTTGTCTATGCATTTGAATATATACTCATACCTGTGTGTAAAAGAGAAGGAGTTAAGATGATGACGGAAGAGAACGATGAGAGAAAGAGAGAGAACTTTTTTTTTCAGCAGCCAATAAGTAGCCTGGTTTGCCAATCGATAAATTGAATCACGAGTCGAGCATTCCCTGAATTGCCTTAATATCAAAGTCAAGACCCATTGCTCTCAAGTGATGATGTTATTGCTGCAGGAGAGGGTCTACCACAATAGCACGTCTCAAAATTGTTGATAGGC